CCTTACTTGGGGTCACACGAATATAAAAGTTGTATCTTATCCAAGATCACACGAGTATAAAAATTATACCTTATCCGAGGTCATACAAGTATAAAAATTGTACCTTAATCGGGGTCACACAAATTATACATACCTTACTCCGGTATATGAGTTATCAAAATATATATCTACCTTACTCTAGATCACACGAGTTATACATACATCACTCAAGTATATGAGTTATCAAAATTTGTATTTATCTTATTTGAGATCATACGAGTATACATATCTTATTCGGATGTACAAGTTATCAAAATTTGTGCCTTAAAAACTCTTATCGGAGTCACGAGTCTAACATTTGCATGTGTTACTAATAGTTGCATGGTTTATGAACAAGACGATTTGTAATTTCATAATCATGGTATATACACATGATAAAATGTAAATCATTTTTTAGATTGATGAAGTTTTGTTTTAGTTTAAGGGAGGGGGATTCTTCTCTCAAAGTATCACTCGAGGTCGCATGGTTTTCCATAGAATGATCTTCTTGAGCTCAGGGTTGATGGGAGCCCTATCGAGCTCATCTTTCATTTATCTAAAATTTTCAATCCATTATCTTTACATGATAAATAAATAGGTTTTATTGATTAGATCTCACGAATATATTTTTGTTTAATTTAATAATGATTTATAAGATAAACAAGTTCAAACTGAAAATTACTCATCTATATGACTGAATGATAAATTCAACCTTAAACTTGTTTGGTCTCTATTCCTAAAAGAACTCAACCTCCAATCTTGGGGGACTTGTGTATTTAGTTGACCCAAATTCATTAAAATCACTTTATTTATTTAATTATCTTGTTACATATTATTTTATTAATTATCTTTTATCAATTATAATTTTTGTATAATATTTATATCAGTTATTATTTTTTGGTTATTATTATCTTTTAGGTCTTATATAAGAAGACTCACTTAGGAAGTGAATCTCATATTGTCACTCATTCCCTCACACATACATTATTCTCTTGTGTAATTCAAAGTACCTTTTGCAGGTGATCTTATACTCTTTCTAAAAGGAAGTTATTTTTAATATTTTCAAAGTCGTAACTTATATCTTCTCATATTCATTTACGGACCTCCACCGGTCATATAAAAATATATATTAAATTAAAATAAAACTTATCTTAACCTTATTTAATGTTTATTTTTAATTTAAAATAATATTTAATAAAAATAAATAACAAAAATTGAACTACAGTCCCCTAGAATAATAATAGAGACCGATTCCTTTCCTCATTCATGAAAGGATTTTGAATCAAAGAAAATAACCAAATCAGACAACTACTTCACAAAGTAAGGATGAAATTAATCGCCTAAAGAACACTTGTTAAATTTTGTGACATTTATTGGTTTTATGTCACCAATCCTTCCATTTTATTCACATAACATTGTTCAACAACACAAATAAAAGTGATGAGTGAGAGCAATAATAATAACAATATGATCAACAATAATTTGATTTTCTAGATTATTTTAATTATTATATTAAAAGATAGATGCTTTACCTCTTAATTTTGTTTATGGATTTTAATCTTCATATTTTTTTCTTAATCATAAATGTTTGGACCGAGCAACATTTATTGTAATTTTGATTATTGTGAATAATATTATCATTTTGTGTGATAACTTTTATAATATTATCTTTAATTTCAATAGGTTTTAACCTCATCAAACGATAGTTAAATAAATTCATTCAAAATTTAGTACTTGTCTATTATTTTTCTTTAGTTTTTAAAAAATAGAAAATTTGTTTACTTTTTTAACTAAAATTCAAAATTAATATAAAATATGTTTTATTTTAAGTTGTCATTAATCTTTAATTTCAATAGGTGTTAACCTCATCAAACGATAGTTAAATAAATTCATTCAAAATTTAGTACTTGTCTATTATTTTTCTTTAGTTTTTAAAAAATAGAAAATTTGTTTACTTTTTTAACTAAAATTCAAAACTAATATAAAATATGTTTTATTTTAAGTTGTCATTAATAATATTAACGTCACATAGTTATATAACATTATTACTTTTTATCATTAGAAAATTATCAAATTTATTTCCTACTTTTGTTACAATTTTTTATTATTATTATTGAAGTCTCTTTCTTCTACAATATTTTTTAAACTAATATTATTAAATAAATTATTCTTTCATTTTATCTAAAAAACAAACTAAGACTCATCTTTAAAACTAATATTAAACCATAAATGAAACAAAATTTAATTATTTGTAATTATTAACAGAATTATTATAAATATTTCTGATAAATAATTTCCTGGATGATCACTTTATATATAATTATTTATGAATTTACTAATTTTATGAGAGTCAAAAAGTAATGCAGCAGACAAGTGGAGAAGAATAAGGAAATCCACGGATTATAGTGTAAAACAATATTTATAAAAGAATATAGATAATCATAAGGCTTAAATGAAAAAAACTCATCTTTAAAACTAATATTAAATCATAAATGAAACAAATTTTAATTATTAGTAACTATTAACAGAATTATTATAAATATTTCTGATAAATAATTTCCTGGATGATCACTTTATATATAATTATTTATGAATTTACCAATTTTATTACTGTTGGAAATTATAACAAAAGTTAAAGTTTCTTCGACATTTATTTACCCATGTAAATTTTATGACAGATTATTTTATAATGAAATATAGTTACCAACGGATTTTTACAACTTTCGAAACGTTAACAATAAAAGAAATTCTTTTAATGATTAAATAAACTATTCATATTTCTTTTAACGAATGTAAAATTAATTATTTTTATTCATATTAAATATCGTTTAATATAAATCCATAAAACTAACTCATTTCTTCCCCCACATTATTTCATAACGAATTAATTGAAATACATTATTTTAATATGAAAATATATAATTTAGTGACATATTTTATATATATATATATATATATATATATATATATATATATATATATATAAAATTAGACAGGTTTACATTTTTTATATAAAGAGTTGATGTTAAAAATAATTTATATTTTTTATTTTTTTTATTAATTGATATATTTTTTAAAGAAAAACCGTGATACACTAAAAATCTTGAAATTTAATTTTAACGATATTATATAATGAATATGAGACTAAAATATTTTATTTCTTACATAATTATAAGACTTGTTTCGGCTCATATCTCTTAATTTTTAATTAAGAATTATATTCCAATAACTCATAAATATTATATTGATATACATCATTTTTTTTTATAATTATATTTAGAGAAAATATCTTATTAAATCATTAGACGTCAATGACAATAGACTAAAATATGTTACCTATTTATTATTTACTTTTATACAAACATTTTTATCACTCATTTTTTCTCTTTTTATTTATTGATATATTTTTTAAAGATAAAATCATTATATACTAAAAATCTAAAATAATCTAAAATAGATAATATTTTAAATATAAAAATTAATTTTAACAATATTATCATTAAAAATATGAGACTAAAATATTCTATTTCATATTATGACATCTAAATCTAGCTTTACTCCTATCTTTTAACTTTCAATTAGAAATTATATTTCAATAACTTATAAATCTTATATTGATATACATCATCTTTTTGTTTTTATCAATGAAATTTGAAGATAATATCTTATTAAATGTGAATCATAATGGTCTAAAATATGTCACCTATTTATTATTTACTCTTATAAAAACATTTTCATCACTAATTTGTTGGAAATGTTTTATTAATATCAACAATTTCGTTACCCAGCTAAACTGACATAAGTGTGAAAGTCTGGCAAAATACACCTCAGAGCAGCACCCACAAACTAGCTCTCAACATTAATAGACTCCACCACCGACCACATAAATTCCTTTCGGAATTGGCCTCCAACATTTTTCGGCCCACCAACATGTACCGTAATGCATCCAAACTGTGAAAAAAAGGTTTATTTAGTTTAGTTAAATGGAGATAATTTGAATAAAAATATTTCTAATTGTTAAACATAACTAGATTAATTTCAGTAGTAAATTTACATCGAAACGTCTATTGTTTTATTTAAAAATGGAAATGGATTTTTCTAACACCAAAATAATTTTAACGGAATGAAATTTGAATTACTTTTAATTTTGTACTGCTTTTTCCGTGCCAAGTAGTGGTCCTGCATGGAAAATGTTATCGTAAATTTGAAGCATTCATTATTATTTTCTTTGTATAACAGCACACTCAATTTCAAGAGATAGATACATGGTGACCACTTCTTTTCAGCATACGAGCCTTCATCACACGAAACGTCAATACTGTGTCATGCGTACGCACGTATTAATCATGTCTGAAACTCTCCACCGAAAATAGTTTCGAATCAGTTAACAATTTATAAGATTGAATTGGTAATAGTTATTAAACAGCTTCTGGAATGCAAATAAAAATTTCTCGTCCAACTTTGATTTAAATTTTAAGTGAACCAAATAGCCTATTATTAAAACTACTCTGCTTTCTAATTCTTTTCAATAATGTAATTATAACGTTCCTGTGTTTCCTTTGCAAACAATTTAAAGGTGCAAACAATCCAAAAGATCTCAGCGTTCTGCATTGCATTCATTGAGTCACAAACTAGGAGATATTACTATTCTGTCTTGCAAATCAAGCACAGCTGTAACCTTAATCAAAATTCATCCGTGACAATAACCATATACACAAATCACTATTATCATTAAATACATGTAATATATACGAATAAGTAAAGAAAAATAAAAAAAATAAATATAATGGTAGGTAGGTAGGTACTAGAAGTAGTAGTAAGGATTCGGTTCTGCACAGCTCAGTCTCAATTTGCCTTAATTGGTCCCAAGCGGCAGCTAGCCCAACACCACGAACTTAAAAACTCGCATAAAAATTCAACCCCACAATCAAATCTAGCTTTGGATTTTCTTCCCTCTAATCTCCCTTGTTTGTCTTCTCCTCTCAACAATTCGAAGACAAAGTGGACAACGTAGTGGCAGAGGAGGTTCTGCTGGGGGAGGGGGAGGCATTGTTGTTCTTCAACACCACGGTTGGTAAAATGCTGGTTTTTCTTCTTTGTTCCTCCTTAATTATCTCTCCCCCAAACAACTCTAACTTCTCCAAGTTGGTGTTATTTGCCACCTTCTTCCCCTTGAACAAAACGGATTCAACGTTCTTCTGGCTCAACATCGCCTCAGAAACTGCCAACAAATCCGATTTCATCTGCACTCCCTTGTTTATAACACCGTTTGACTGAATCCGCACATAATTGCTCATCCGACAATCACCAAATGCCATTGATACGGCTTGATCAACCTGCATTATATTATTTGCATTCCCATTAGAATAAATATCTAAATCAATAATTCAAGTAAACCAACCCATTCATTATTTTTAATACTATATCATAAAATATGTCCATTGTGTTTGTAAGGTAGTTTACACATTTATTGTCCTCTCCCTAACTACCAATTCAATTACAACTCCATATCAGTACTGATGGATTGTTATTATTTTAAATTTTACAACAACTTCATTTATAGGAAAAAAAAAACCTAGATTACTAGTCATGTAAAAATTTGTAGAATCATAACAAATTTAAATTATGTAATGATTTATTTTAAAATATTAATCTAAAAAATATGTTAAAAATGTTTATTTAAAAGAATACCGTTAAAATATCATTAATTAAATTGTGTATCACACATTATATTATATTTTAAAATGTTAAAAGACAGAATAAAAATAAAGTTCAAATTATGCATACTAAGAATGCACGTAGAAGAGGAAGATTATTAAATTTGGTGAATTTTACCGTATCGGAAGCTCCTTCGCCAGCTATCCTTACGAAACCCGACGGTGACTTAACGGCGTTAAAGTCTGACTCTCCGTTACCGAGGGAGAGTACGAGGAGGTCGGAGACACCATTACAGAAAGGAAACTCGTGTTTATTATTTAGCACGTGCGTGATGGCAGCAGCCGTTGGATTGTTCATCGCAACGCCTCCATCGACGGCCATGATCTTGGTCCTGCCGTCGACGGACCGCATCTCGGTAGGGCCCGCAAAGGAAGGGTCCGCTGACGTGGCAGCGCATACGTCGTGCATCTTGAAATCGTACCCGTCCATTTCCAGCGCGTCGGCGCGCGAGAAAACGAACGGCGCGCGCGTGACGAGGTCGTAGCACGGGATCAGCACCGGCTTCACGGTGTCCTTCAGCGTGCACTCTCCAAACGTCTTTCGGAAGAGCTTCTCCGCCTTAGCCTCGGGCCGTAGCACTCGCCGGAGGATCCCCGGCCGCCGGGTAATCTTGCGGCGGTTGTCAGTGAGAAACTTCAGCGCCTCTTCGGCGGTAAACAGCGGCTGACCATCCTTCCCGCGCGTGAAGAGCAGCGCGGCAAGTACGCCGCCGACGCCGGAGCCAGCGGCGGCGTCGAAAAAGTCCGCGACACGCGCGTTCACGTCGCCGGACTTGCGGCGGAGACAGGCCTCGAGGTGCGCGAGGGACTTCGCAGCGAGGATGCCATCGGTGGCGCCGGCGCCATCAATGCAGAGGATCCTGACCTTGCCGGCGGCGTGTTTCACCGGTTTGGCATCCCCCGCCGGAAAATTGACGGCGTTAGGAACGGAATTGGTGCGATTCTCCGCGTCGCCGTAGCCGAAGAGGAAATTGTTCTCGAGAATGGAGAATATTTCGTAGGTGAGCTTGTCGACTTCGAAGTTAGAGTCAATCATGTTAAGGTTCATTGGAGATGTGGACATTGCCGCCATTTCTGCAATTCGAGTGAAGTTTTTTTTAGATAGGGAAAGTCTAGAGAGAGAAAGAGGTTTTGAAGAGAGTTTTTGTTTGGTGTCTGTGTTGTTGAAGAATTGTGATGACGAAGAGAGGTGTGGAAGGTGGGTTTATATAGCGAGGAACGGGAGTGAGTAAATGTGACGATCGAAGAACATTCCACATTCCTATGGTAGGCGATTAATCGCCACGCGATTTATGTTTTTTTTTTTTTTTTTGAATTTAATATCAAGGTACTTCAGAAAATAATAAAAGATTAAACCACCAATTTCATGTGTTGTTATAATTTAAAAAATATACATAAAAATTATCTTCTAACTATTAAAGTGTATTTTTGTAAAAGTTTAAAAATATTTATGTTTTTGTAAACTAATTCCAATTTTAAAAAAATAAAGAGAGAAAAAAAATGTTGAATATTGAGGGTTTTTGTCAAAGGAAGGGAGGGAATTGTATTTGAGATGGGTGAAACCGATGGTACTTGAAACAATAGAAAGAAAAGCGATGCGTTGAAAGGAAAGTAAAAATTAGGAGACCGCTAACAAAGTTGGAATTGAAGGACTTTATGGTATGAATTTAAAATATGTTGGTGGGTACATTGTTTGGTTAGTCTCTCCTTCTTTCTTCTTTTTGTGTTCCACCCTTTTCTTCCGTGCTGTTGCTTTATTCCGGTTCCTTTCAATTCAGATTGTTAATTTTAAAACTTAGTGGGGGGAATGTCATGGTTTCTTACACAAACGGAACTCTCTTCTTCTTATATTCTAATATTTCATAACTAAGATATTCAATTTATCGCGTTATTTAATTCAAAGTGTTTTGGTTCACCATTCTTTTTTCCATGGAGGGGGTTGTAGTGGTAAGAGAATGTTATGTTAAAATATTTTTATAGATATTATTATTCTCTAGATGTTTAATAGATATATAATGTTTTTCTTTTCTTAAAAATATGATGTTAAGAACTTTTATAAATAATTGTAAAATGAAGTTTGTTTTTATATCATTCGATAATGAGGTTACATATAACAAGAGAAGTCTTTGTTTATACTAGGAGAGCATATCCAATGCTCTTCGTCTAAGTAATACAATTTTTTTTTCCATTGTATTGAGTTCTACTAAGATGTTGCTTAACTCACAAATATTCTCTTTTAATCTTTAATATTTCGTATTCTTTGTCTTATAATTAATCAATATATTAATTAACTTGTAAGGAATAATTAATTAGATAATTATTTTTTCCACTTATAAAATCACATGTGTTTAGTAATTTTTAAATTTCACAAATTTTGCTATTATTCTAATTTATTTTTATAGTTTCAAAGAAATTTAAATATTCATACCTTACTGTCAAAATCCAAAATAATCAATTTTTCACCAAACTTTTAGAAAAAATAAAATTATGACTTTGATAAAAAAAAAATATTAAAGAAACTCTCTGAAAAAAATCTAACATCATTTTATTTATTTCTTTTCACGAAGCTCACTTTTTATACAACTTTCATTAGGTTTACTGCCCCTTTTTTGTCTAAACATTAATTGAATTTTATAGTTTTTTATTTATGTGAAACTAATAGGACAAAGTTTTGATTTAATAAAAAAAGAATTAAAATTGTATTTTAAAGTTTAAAACACAGAACAATATTAACTAACTTTTATGAGTAAAATATGAAACGAATATTTTAAACATTAAAATAAAAAAACTGATTTTAATAAAAACACAAAGAATAAACAATATATTGTAAACATTATTTATGAAAAAGGGGAATGTGTTTTTAAAAAAGTTAATTGAAATGGTATGATAACAAGATTGAATAGAATCTGTTTGAGTTTACAGGAGATTTGTGTGAACAAGAAATAAAAAATCATTAATTTGAGGGATAACACGTGTGCAACCTAGCCACCAAGGTTGTACTACCACTGTTCCTTAGCTCATGTCATGCTTTTCCCTTTTTTTTGGACCGTTTCGAGTCTCTACTCCCTTTTATCATTCATTGTCATTCGCAACGAGGAAATCGGTTCTTTTGTCTTTGATGATAATTACGACTTTTAAAAATAATTCAATTTTATTTGATTGAGAAAATACCGTTAAAAGTATTTATATAATTTTACAAAATTAAATAATAATGTTTTATAAATTTTAATTATTTACAATATTGAATGATTTACTAAAAATAATTTTGTCTTTTCAATAATTTTTGTTTATCTTAACAAAAGAAAGTTTTATTTATTTATTTTGGTTTGATAAGGAAGAATTTAGATAATATTTTGAATTTCACTGACGCCAGTGAATAAAGAGAAACATTGGCCCAAAAATTAATCAAGAGTGCTTCTGATGTCGAGATTTAAATGCACTAGGTCCTTGGCAACCAAACAGGGACGTCTCACGTGTGCATATTATACTGATCCAGAGAGTGTTATTTGGTGCGTGGTTGTAAAATTAAATTTGGATTAAAATTTTATTTTAAATTAACTGATTTTTATGTAGTATTATTATTCATTGTAGTGTTTCGGGGGGGAATTTTGGTCCATTTTGATTTTTCAGATATTTAGGTCTTAACCAAATTTGAACCACGTAGATTTTTTTTACTTAGGTTAATAAACAATTTTCAATCGAAATATGTATGAGAATCGAAAATACCACAATATCGATAAATGTTAACAACACAACATATTAAATTGCAGAGAAATGTAAAATACGGAAACCTCAAATTTGCATTAAGTGTAAATGGCAATGAATTGAAATTGCAAAAATGTAAATAACAAGAAATCGAAATTGTAGAATTGTAAATAACAGGAAATTAAAATTATAGAAACGTAAATAGTAGGAAATCGAAATTGCAGAAGTGTAAATGACAAAGAATTTAAACGCAGAATCGTAAGGAATTGAAAAGACAGAAACTAAAAATTGATAAACGTAAATTGCATGAAAGTAAATTACATGAAAGTAAATTACTAGGGAAAGTAAAGAAAGCGGTAAAGACAATCAATGAAAATGAAAATCCAGAGCATTAGAAACTTCATGATATGTCGTTCTCCTGTAGACTTTTCACTTATGTTTCTGTCTTCTCTGCCAATTTCCTGTTTTCCTTCAAACTTCGTTCTATTTATAAAGTGTCTTTCAGGTAACCTCCTAAGAACAGTTAAAAAATTGCTACTACGTTTCATGTGCACGTCCCTCGATTTTTATCTTAGCCTATGGTTTAGAAAACCGCTTTTACGTTCCATGTGCATGATAACCGTTCCCCTCGATCTCGATTCTAGATATCGAGTACTTTGAATTGCATCTGATTTCCCTTAATCTTAACTTTACACTCAATATTTTATTATCGATTTCTTACTTTCATGGAATTTCCTCTATCTTCTGATTCTCGATTCCCTTCAGCAATAACCAATGAACCCTCTTCTTTCGATTCTCGATTCCCATTCTCGATTTTCTTCAGCAATAGTCATCGAATCTTCTTCTTTCGATTCTCGATTCCAATTCTCGATTTCCTTCAGCAATAGCCATCGAATCTTCTTCTTTTGATTCTCGATTTTCTTCAGCAATAGTCATCGAATCATCTTCTTTCGATTCTCGATTCCAATTCTCGATTTCCTTCAGCAATAGCCATCAAATCCTCTTCTTTCGATTCTCGATTCTCATTCTTGATTTTCTTCGGTCATAGCCATCGAATCTTCTTCTTTCGATTCTCGATTCCATTTCTCAATTTCAATTCCCGATCGATGTTTTCATACTAGCTAATACATGGTCAACGAATGTCTTCCAACCATCTTTTTGATTTATCAATTTTTCAACTAACATACGATCCTCGATTTCCTTCCATCCGTTTTTCGATCCATATATCGATTTTTCCCAAAACGTAGATATTAGTTACGTTTTGGGAAAAATCGCTTTTAGATTTATAAATACTATTAATTTTTTAATATACTAATTATGGACATATTAATTCCAATCAAAATCTCTTAACATGTATCTTAAAACGTTGTTAAAATTACTAATAGTTAAAAACTTCATATAAAATCACGATAAAACTACTAAATCATGAAAAATATTTTATATAAAAATGAAAAAATTTATTTGTAATCAAATTCTTGTTATACTTACTAATATTCGAATTTTTATTTATACGTATACCATACACGTTTTCTCTTCTAAAATGAAAAAAATGTTGCCCTTAACAAAACTACCATTTGGATCACATAATCAACTTTCATAAATTAGTGAAAATATAAAAAATAAAAGCATAATTTGAACCTTGCGCAAAAACTTTTTTGAAAAAAAAAAAACAAGTGCACACCCCTTTCTTTGGTTCCCTTTCCGATTCATCTGCTCCCTTTTTGATACAACACTGAGCTTTCTCAGGTGAACGTGACAACGAAAGTCAATTATGGATAAATATGATTTTACAGTTTCTTTAAAACAGATTACATAAGTTTAATTATAATTGATCAATAATGCAACAATGATTAAAAAATACATAAAGATGGGAATATTATTTTGATTGGGGAGAGTAAAAGATGGGAACGAAGAACAAGTATCTGGTTGATATTTTGGAGATTAATGTTGGGTGGGTGGTGAAGGTGAGAGGGAAGATCTGAGTAGGGCCTCTCACGAAGATGTGGTCTCACTCTCAGATCTCAAGCTTCTCTCTTTCTCTCTACACCCTCTTCTTCTCTTCAAAACCTCTTCTTCATGCATTGTACGGTCGTACCGACATACACTTCCCATATCTTTTCTTTCGCTTTTTCCTACACTCCTGCTTCTTCTCTCTCTCTCTCTCTCTCTATATATATATATTCTTCTAATCAATCGTTAATCACTTTTGAAAATGATAATAATTAATAAAAAAAGAGAGTAAGAGGTCGAATTGATCTCTAACTTATTCAATTCAATGTTGGTTATCTGATATCTAATTCAATAATGATCGACTAACACCTGCTTTTATATTTGAATTAAAAATCGTACTTGTTCGATTAATATAAT